CATATGATCACCACATAAACGGAGCTGCAACTCACAAGCATCACAGTGCAAACATGACTACATTCTGTGGAGTGAATTTTGTGTAAATAACACATTTTGTAAACGGAAATAAAAAAGAAAATGCAATCTGGGACTGAAAATTGTTCATCAAAAAAGGTTTTGAAGGTAACTTTTCAGTTTCCACAGATTTTGATGTTTATTTCTTTACACAAAAAGCATATTTTATTTTTCTTATATATATATATATTGTTTTTATATATTTTTCATTTGATTAGATTTTTTAAATTTGATTTGAGAAAAAACATCATTTTTTTTAACTACAAATCTTAGAAAACAGCAAAGTACTTTTAAAACCTTTTGTTTTTATAAAGAAGTGTTGTAAAGTTTTATTCCTACATTGCATATTTTTTTAATTTTCCATTTCCAAAACCTGTTTGTGGCTTTGCAACAACAATGGAACAAAGTTTACACCATAGAATTCTTTCAATTCAGTTTTCAATTCAGTTTATTTCTATAGCACTAATTCACAACTCGTCATTTTAAGGCACTTTAAAATTCATGCAGTCAAATTGGTTCAAAGTTTTCTATCTAATGAAAACTAGACTAGTGGCTTGAATGCAATCCCTCACACTAATCATGCTTGTAGCGAGACTAGAGAGGAAAAAACTCTCTTTTAACGGGAACAAACCTCCAGCAGAACCAGGCTCAGTGGTTCTGCTGGAGGAAACCTCACCTGTCCAGAGGTTTCCTCTCCACTGTCGCTACAAGCATGCTTAGTGTGAGTATTTGCCTTTGGGTCAATGAGTCAATGCAATCAACAGTTTGTCCGTAGACAGAAAACTTTGAATCAATTTGACTGAATGATCTGGTTGAACTGTCTCTGTAAAGTTCCTTGAGATGACATGTTGTTAATTGGCGCTATATAAATAAGCTGAATTGAATTTAATATTTGCTTTTTAGTTTGGCCCAAATGAATGCACCTAAACTGTTGTCATATCATTATTGAAATGTGTGCTTTATTATTTGTGGCATAAAAAAAATGGCGTTGAGTAGCAAATATCACGTTTAAAAGTTTTCACCTTGTCAACCGCAGCAGTTATCACTACCTTTAAAACAAATGACTGTGTCAATTAAAACATTAATCTTTAAAGTTCTGGATTTGAGAAAACAGAAATGACACAGTTAAACCCTAATCCTTTATCCACGTGCTGACAGATAAGGATACAAACTGAAAAAAGGGCCTTAGAGTTTTACCTTAGTAAATACCCACTGGCTTAAAGTAAGCTAAACTTTAATGTATGCCACTTGATCAAAACAAGCATGCAGTAAATATAAATCAGTTGTTTTCAGGCCATAACTATGCAATCACAAAAGGCACTTGTTTTTGTTACAGCTATGTAGAAAACTAAAGATGTACTTTGGCCTTCTAGCATTCCTTAAAGAAGAGAAAAAAATCAATGAGGTTGAATAAACACACAACTGAAGATGAATCCATGAAGATAAAGAAAATTGGTTAGTTGGATGTCAGCAAACAGAAAGTATGACCTTAATGTTCTCAGACAGTTTAGCAAAACAAAACTGGAAGAAAGAAGCATAGAAGCAAAACAATGGAGGAAAGTCTGGAAGCAGCAGCGTAGTGTGAGGAAACCAGAGAGGAAGATGGTGGAGCCATGAGCAAAGATTTGGGAAGAAATCTTTTAGGATGAATAATATAAAGGAGCTTTCAAGGCTTGTTTGTTTTTTTTCTTCAATATCAGCTTTTTGGAAGAATAATTCAGCCTACTTAGCATAAACAGGGAATTTGTCCTCATATCTGTCCAGTTACATATAAGCCTGATCTTTTTCACCCATTTCAAACATATCAGTGGATGGGGAAGAATTTCATACCTTTTGTCTAAAAATGTCTGTCAGATTCAAAATGTTAGCTCATGTTTTCAGCCCAGCTGCTGTTTGGTTAGACTGGCTGTAAATGGAGAAGCAGAGGCGTAAAACATGCAAGATGCAAATAAGGATGATTTAAAATTCAACTATCAGCCTCAGCTGAGCCATTATGTTAGCAAACTATATATTCAACCTGTCAACGGCTAAAAGGTTCTTTATTCAATGTAACAGTTGTAGTTCAGGTCCGTGTTATTTTTGTCTTTATGCTTTGCCACATTTTTCTTCCAAACTTTTTTCCTCCACGCAACTTTCCATTCACTCTGTGTAAAGGCAGATTCTTTGACTCTGACCTGATTATGGGGGGTCAGTGATTTTCAGGTTAGCAGTCCTCTCCATTACTGTAATCTCAGATGTATTAGAAATTCTGTTTTTAATGGTCCTTTTTAATTCCAACTTCTCCAAGTCAGTGCAATAGGGTTTTTTTATTAGGAGTAAGTTACAGTAATCAAAATAAAAATAATAGCTAAAAATAATTCGTCCTCTGGGTGATGAAAATAAAATAAAGAATTAAATGAAATATGGCCGTTTTTAAATTGAATTACTCAGATAAATTGAAATTTTTTGATGATACTCTAATTTATTGATCTCCCTTGTTTTCAATCATATCAGTTATTCCCTATCAGCTGTGATTTCTAGATCTTTGCTTCCCATCTAAAGGTGTTAAAACATCAGGAGTTTTGTGTTTTTTCAGAAGTTTCTGGTTAGTAAGACACCATGTTTACACTCTGACCCGACTACCTGTATGTTCTGGGTCGTTGGTTCAGGGTGGCGGTGCGGACGGGACTGGGAAGCTGTCCAGCACCCATATTGTTTCTTGTCGGGCTGGAGGCATAATCGTTGGGCACCACAGGGGGGCGTACTGGCTCCAGTGTCCTGTAGGGGGAGTTCTTGTGCCTGTGCATGCAAGATGTAAAGGTAGGGAAGACGTTTGTACAGGAAAACAAGGTGGTGCTGGTGACCTGTCCCATTATTCAGATCATCCTTCTGCTATTATGCAAAAAGCGAGCTGGGAACATTTCCATGCATCATATCCTGCTGAAAAGCTGAAGTCACATTATTTCCTCCCATTAGGAAAAAGAATCTATAAGCATTTCTAATACAAAGTTAGCTATAAAAACAACTCCTGCTGTTTAATAGTGAAGGTAATAACTAATGCAGTGTGAAAGAGTTAACAGGCCGGGGGTTGGCTCCTTCTTGCTGCAAAACAAATACAGAAATCTGTTAAGGCCATATTTAAAGGGCAGGGAGTATTTTTAAACAGTATCATCTCCTGCAGCATCCAAGAAAGAAATAGAAGCAGAACACAACAAAAATAAAACGTTTAAGACACCAAAATTTGATTATACATTCAAGTTGATTTAGGTGCCAAAGTTAAACCAGCGGAGATCAGTTAGACATCGATATAAAGGAAACATTTTCACAGTTAGAACTCTGCACCCATGGTTGAACAAACAGAAAGCTGAACAAAAGAGTCATTGCTAACAGAAGCAAAGCTGTTGATAAATGGAACATTTCTCTGGCAGGATAAGAAACATCCATTTGGTCTGAGCAGCCTCGGGGCGGGGGTTGAGGTCTCTATTATCGGTCTCATAAATGAAGATTTTAATCCCGTCTGAATGGCACTTTTCACAGGAACAGAACAGACTCAGAATGAACAAACTGACAGAATGTTCCTCTCAGTGGTTAATGTAGAAAAAAGGGTGTGAGCTGTGAGAGAGATGGCTGTGTGCAGCAGGCTGCCAGCTCTCTGCTGTGTGTTTGTCCCGTTGCTCCCCATGTATGTTTGTCTGTGAGCACAGACAGGCAAACTTGGCTCGATGAGCACAGCTTAGTTCTGACCAACTGCTAAGCTGCTTCTGTTCGTCTTTCCTAGAAACATGGCCACACGTTGGACCAAATATAAAGATGCAAAGACCTTAATAGAAAGATGCAGAGTCTCTCCACTTTTAGGTGAGTATTAATCACCTTTGGAAATGAGATAAAGCAAGAAAAACACAGCCTTTATTGGAGTATGTTGGATTAAAGGTGCTGTGGTGAGGAACGATAGAAAATAATCCTCCTATGCTCCTGATTCAGGGGGAAACAGGCGGCAGATCAGCAGGTAACAGGAAACTAGAAGGAAGAGACAACAGGAGGAGCCCGCTGACTCTGGCAGCTCAGCAGCTCTAGCTCCATATGCATGGAGGGCTTTAATCATAGAAGCAGCTAAGAGTCCTCTGTGACTCTGAAGGTAGCCTTTAACAGGACAACTATTATTCAAAGAATAGCCTTAACAAGTCACATCATCAGTTTTTTCTTCTCCGTACAGGGGATCCAAAAGAAAACTATTTGGCCTAGTTGAAAATGTTATAAGTAGCATAAACATTCTTCTGCATTTTAGCTTCAACACACACTCCCTGTGGTGAAACATAGTGATGGCAGCATCATACTGCACCAGATCACCTCGGACAGTGAAGCTGGATAGAACCACATCCTGGCAGAATACCTGCTAGAGGCTGGAATATGGAAGTAAATCTGTGTCGCTGGGATTAAAAATTAAAAATGCCACTGAAATTTAAATGTTGTATGTTTGTACTTACTGTTTCAGTGTTAAATAAACATATACAACTGGCTCTATTTCACTGTCTAAAATTTGGCGTCTAAATTCAGTGTAAAAAGGGAAGGGTTACTTCAGGTCACAGACATTAGCAATGGATTGTGGTGTCCAACACCCAGCCAATCTCGTTACGTTTTCTTAGTCATTTGACGTGACGCGTGATGCTGATGTCAAATGACTGCAAACAGACCCAAGAAAATAATCAGTTGTAAAAACAATTTCCTGAATGATGTTAATGATTCAATTTTGAAAATTCCTGAAGCTATTCAGAGATTCCTTAGAGATGGTTTGTTTTAACTGGTTTATGTTTCACTAGAAGAGTGTTTGCAGACGAAAAACATGTTTCTACAGTAGCAGCCATTCAAAATCTCCCCACTTTCCTTGATGGGTCCTTTGCTGGTCCTTGGCCACTCCCCTACAATTCCTTTTTAAACATTTTTAAACATCTGTGAACATTAAGATCTAAAGAGAAGCGTTATCTCCTGGTCAGACCCTGTAATTCAGTGAAAGGATGAAGTCAGAGTAAAAAAATATATATATGACCATGAGAAAGCCAGTGACTGGAAGTTGGAGGGGATTTTGCTGCCATTCGGGTGGCTTTTGACTGGGAAGGGCCATTTTGAATGGCTGCTACTGTATTTAGATTAAAAGCTATGTAGACAGACAGAAAAATAAAATCTGAGGAAAATCCTCAAAATCACTTTATTGGTTTTATTTTACCATTAATAACTTTACAGCAGGGCTGTGGAATGAATTAAATATACCCATATGTTTTATTTGTCTCCAATCACTCACAAAAAAACAAAAAAAAAAACCCGATCATAAAATATTGTGTAAATAATACTACTTTGGCATTATTTCCTCTGCAGGTATGATTTTGCTTTTTATGACATAAGGAGACAAAAAGGATAGACACAGCTTGGTGACCCAGATGTTTAAGGGCAGAGAACACAACAAGCTTTCACAACAGATGACGTTATTCCTCAGAGCACTGCGTTTCAGAACAAGTCTGTGTGGGCGTGTGAGTGAATGCGATTTCCCACTGCCGCCTCAAATCTGTAAAAACCTCATCACAGGACACCGGCTTTTCTCAGCACATAAACGTGCACAGGCTGAAGCCTTTTTTAAAACATCACTTCCTATAAATCCTAAGCAGAGATGAACAGGTGAGGCTGACATAAACCATAAATCTATCAGAGCACAGAAACTCTTAAACAAAAACTTTTTACAGAAAAGTAAAGAGATTAAGTAATAAATGTACAAACCCCAGAATTCCTTTCCCTGCTCTTGGAGGACTGGGCGGTTTCTGGGTCGGTGGGTTGGACCGGGACAGACCTCCTAGTTTTAAACTCTGCTGGCCGTTTACCTGTGGCAACAAATACAGCCTGAAGTACAAAGCCTTAGTTCCAGCATAGATAATAAAAAACACCAACCTGACCCAAAACTCTTCACACTGTAGCCCTGACAGCCAAACAGTATGATATTTTATGTTCCATAGAAAAGATTTCACATTAAATAATATATAAAAGTACGTTGTCTCTTTCTCCCACACTGCTGCTCCTACTCTTTGATTGACAGCTCACTCCAGAGTTCACTATTGGTTGGAGGATATGTTCAGCTGTAGAGGCCAGGGGACGAACTACAGAGTAATAATAATGATGACGGATTACCTACTTTATATAAGAGCACATTCAGATTCCAAAAATTATTTTATGATTAAACCATTATGAATGAGAAATACAGCAGAGCTTACATTTTAGAACCTCAGCATATTTTTCACCTATTAAAGTAAGAATACATTAAGATTTAAAATAAAATCTCATCAATAAATCATGTCAGAAAGTTTCCTCAGAGCTTTAAGCCACATTTTGTTCCATATAGTCATATACTATGGAGTATAAAATCTGACACCTCTTCCACCCCCTCCCATCACCAGCTGAGACACATCAGAAGCAGTTGCTTCTGCATTGTGTGTAGGTGTGCTGTACAGCCTTACCTTGAACCTCATCAACCACTTAACACATCAGTGACAGCAGACGGGACAGAAGGAGGAAGAAGAAACAGAAGACATTTTAATCTAAAGGTTAGGCAGAGTATGACTGCATGCTGGACATTTCATCAGACATCAAGTCAGAAAATGCAAAGCAGAAGAAGAGCTTCAGACAAACAGGCTGAGACAGAGATAGAAACATATGGAGTGGACTTTGTTCCATTATTGTTGAAAGCAAAAGAACACAAATAATAAATTGAAATTTGAAACAAATGGAATCCAGAATTAAAACTTTGAAAAAGGTTTTTAATCTTTTTATTTTCCATATATTTATTTTTCAATTACATTTTTTCCTATTTTTATATATCTCTTTTTTATATTGAGTCTTACGACCTCTCTCTGTTGATGTGTACATTGACCAATAAGCTGAATTCAATTCAGTACAATGTTGTTGCTAACATCCATGCAGACCATTAGGAATGCATAAATCTCAATCTGCAAAAAACTAATTTGAAAAAATACCCCCCTGTAAAATACAAAAAAATATGAAAAAATAAGTTTGAAAACATCTGAGAAAACAGCAGATTTGCTGGGGGAGTGGCGGCCTAGCGGTAAGGGCATAGAGCTTGGAACCCTTGGGTTCTTAGTTCCAGCCCCACTCCCACAGACTGCCAGTCTGTGTCTCTTAGCATATACCCTTAACCCCACACTGCTCCTGGGCGCTGCACAATGGCAGCTCACTGCTCTCAAAGGGGATGAGTTGAATGCAAAGAGGGAATTTTGTTGCTCTGTACTTGTTACAATGTAATGACAATAAAAGCTGAAAAAAAAAAATCAAAACCTTTTTTTCTATAATTAAAAAAAAAATTCTAATTTTCCGATTCCATTTTTTTCCATATTTAAATTCACAAAATGTATTTTTTCTTTTTCCAACAATAATTGAACAAAATTTACTCCAGAGATAAACACACTTGAAGCAGCAATACTGAAGAATGCAACTAAATAAAGGTCTGAGATAACAGAACTAGATCATTTAGAGTATACTCTACCAGAGAGTGACAAACAACAACCATAGTTATGCTTAGATCTAAAGAATGAATGTTTTTGCAACTGGCTGTCTACCTAGAATTATGTCTAATTATCTAATTATCTAGAATTATGTCTAATTATGTCTAATCAACAGGGAGAGGATGCCATGTTGACTGGATTTCAACTGTATTCTGCACAGTATACAGTTTAGAAGCAAATATGACATCCTACATAATGACTTTTATAATAGCGATTTATTCAAGATGATCAAATTAAAGAGCTACTTAGCAGTTTTACTTTAATCTAAACTGAATTGGAGTTTAATCAGTGGCGGCTGGCCAATGAAATATTTTGAAATGTATTAATATATTTTTTAGATGTGCAGGACAAATATTTAATCTTTAATGCTGAGTAAAGCTGTTTCGTTCATCATCGGATTGGTCACGTTTTTCCACCCTGGGGCGCAAACATTTTTGCCCATAGACTCTCATTAAAAGTTGTCCATGCGTAGTAGCTCCTATTAAATGCAAAAGAAAAGACCATCCAGAGCTGAAATCTAACTTATTTGCACACCACCTCCTTCCACAGTGCTGATGTCACAGTCCTCTAACATAAAGTCTGATTGACAAGTTTATATACTGTAATCATTTAAGCTTGGCTAACTGCATGCAGCTAGGCTATCGTTTTATTGTGATTTCCCTGCCTCCCCTTTCAAACGTCTGACCCAGCATGGGGTATATTGTCTAATTTGAAGTTATAGCAAACAGTGGTAACCAGTTTCTCTCTGCTGCCTACCTTGACTCCATGTCCAGTGTCATCCAGCACGCTGTAGTCAATGGGCTTCCTGATGTAGCGCACAGGCCTCTCCAGATTGGCTGGAGCAACGATTTTATGGGAGCGGGAAGTGTTTTTGTTGGTAGTCAGGATGCCGATCTCTCGCCTCGCCACCTTCTCCTTGTGGATGTCGACTGTCTGTAAGGGTTAGGGTTAGATGAGATTGTTATACTTCGTGGAACTTCGTGGTCTGATGCCAGCAGAAACACCTTCTGATTAATGCAGGGAAAACCAAGAAGCTAGTGGTGGAAATTCACAGATGCAGTTTCACCCTACTGAAACTGGTGAACATCCAGGGAAGGGGCATTGAGGTAGTGGACTCTTATAAGTACCTAGATGTTCACCTGAAAAACAAACTGGACTGGACTCAAAACACTGTAAAAGAAAGGTCAGAGCAGACTCTTCCTGCTGAGGAGACTGAGAACCTTCTATAACTCTGTTGTGGCATCAGCCATCTTCTATGGAGCTGTCTGTTGGAGCAGTGGCTTATATGTAGCTGAGAGATATCAGCTGGATAAGCTGATCAGGAAGGCCAGCATGATAAGATGCCCACTGGACTCAATACAGGAGGTGGGAAACGAAAGGATCCTAACTAAATGAACATCTCTGTTGGATAATGTCTCCCACTCCATGCATGAAGCTGTTGCAGAACTGGAGGCTCCTTCAGTGACAGACTGCTGCACCCTAAATGCACCAGGGAGCATTATCACAGATCCTTCCTCCCAGCAGCGGGAAGACTCTATAACCACCATTGTTCCCAACAACCTCAATAAGTTGCTACATTCATGCTGATTTTGCACAGTTTTTCCCTTCAGTTAAATAACACGCTGCTTTCTTTTTGCACATCTCTGATGTTGCTGTTATTTTCAAATACCCATTACTGTAAAAATGTCCACAGCTGTATATTGGTTATTTATTATCCAGGTGCAGTTTTTGTACTGTTAAAACACTTTAAAGTACAGTATTTTATAGTTTATTTTTTAACTCTTCACTATTATGTTATTCTTATACACTTTTCTAAGGTCTAAATTTGTTTGGCACTATAGCATTTTTTTGCTGCTATAAACACCAGAATTTCCCCATTGTGGGACAATAAAGGGATTTTCTATTCTATTCTATGGTATTCTATTCTATTCTATAATGATCAACTTCCTAGCACAGGACGACTGGTTTCATGCCCTCCATGATTCCACATGGCCACAGAGAGCTGACTTTTATGTTGAAGGGGTATAACGATTCACAAACACCTGCTGAAAGAAGCACAATGATTGTGACATGGTGTAACACAGGAGTCAGTAAACAATTATGAACTAAAGTTCATGTTAGATGGTAAGAACAACATGCAGTCTTACTGGTTTGGCTGATTGGCGGCATGATTCTTATTTATGAGAAGCAAACAAGAAACACTATAGATTACTAAAAAATATTATCTCCCACCTGTGCATAAATGGCATGATATTTATATTTATCACTTCAAAAAAATTACAGAACAAAAAAAAAATCCTTTTTGTTTCCATGTTTGACTCCATTTGTTTTCAAATCTTTTCTTGGAATCAATTATTTTCTTACTGGCTGTTCAAATCCTGAAGAGTATTCAGTGTGAGAAAAAAGTGCTCTCTGTTCTCACACTAGATATTTCTGGAAACGTTTTGAGATGAATGATAACCTTCTCATGGAGCCTGGAGAGAGAAAAATGTGCTTTTGGATAAAAATGGTAAGAGACTTTAGTGGATTTGGAAGGATTTATCTAAAAGCACAATCCATGTGAGCTTTGTATGAAGGTGAACTACAATTCGGTTATGTATAAAACTAGAAAACATCTCTAAATAGAAAAAAACTGCTCAAGCTCACAGCAGAAATTCTTCATCAAGGAAAGTCGAGTTTGTATAAAGAAAAAGGAGATTTTTAAAGGGTTTTCTCTGACAAAAAAAACATACAAAACAGTTTTGATCATTTATGGAAGATTATGGCAAAACAGTAGGATTCCATTGTTCGTACAGTAAAAGTCAGAGAAAAATGTGGTCGTCAGATTAAAATAACTGTTATGGATTTTAAAATGGTTAAAACTGCTGCACTTTCCATTTTTGGACATCTAAACCTTTTTCAGGAGTTACGCTCTGTGTTGGATGAATGTACTGCATGCAGAGAAACTGGAGTTGTTGCTCATATTGGTGCATTCATTTTCAGTCTGTATGTTTGAATTACCCACATTAAACATGCAGCCAGTATTTTATCTAATAGTGCAACTGCTACACAAACTGCAGTCTTACCGTGACGACAACAGGGTTGTTTCTAACGTAAAACAGACATGATGAGACTGTAATAATTTAGCAATAGCAACCATTTTTTGGGAAGTTTTCTTTTGATCTCCTAGATAAGAATTCTCACACAGGGAAGATCAGCTGTAAGGAAGCTGAGCGGAGAAGAGGAGTTAAAGTAAAGCCAGTTCCAGTGATTCATATGCTGCTTTCACACTTGCTAATGAGCATCCATAAATTGTGTTGTAAATATGAGATCTTGAATTAACATTAGTGGGATGGGTTACCTAAAGAATTGCAATTCATGGTTGATTCCAGGGCTGGGCGATACGACCTCAAATCAATATCACAATGAATTAGGTAGTTTTACCTTGATAAATGCATGATAAATTTTTGTGAAAAATAATGGCATGTGCAGGAAATGCACCTGATTTATTTTTCATTTATTTATTGAATAAATCACATTACATAACATTACTTTCAATAAAATATAAAAGTCTTGTAACCATTCAAACTTAAACATTCAACACTGTCTCATTGAACAGGAGAAAAATATTTGTTTTTTTGCAAACATTTTTGTGCAAAGGTAATGAAGCCATTTGCACATCTTTAAATTCAACAGCGTAGCTGTGCTGTAGGAGGTGGAGGTTGGATGTGTTACTTTGGGTAGTCCCGACAGTTTTCAGACAAACTTTGCATTTCTTGTTCTTTTGCTCAACATCTATGGAGTCATTTTTGTGCCACCAAACTGAACATGCAATGAGAACGGTGTGAATCTTTACAGGGTTCCTACAGCATAGGGCAAGTTAAATTCAAGACTTTTTAATGCCACTTGAAATAAAAATTTAAGACCAAATTCACAAGAAACACAAGAAAAAGCTGCTTGCGACAACTTAACCCAAAGGTTTATTTTAACATAAACCACTGCACCAATGTTTCAAAATTTAAAAGCATACAGGAAGAAAGCTAAAAACACACAAATGACAGATATATTTTAATAATTATTTAACTGAATTCACAAACTTTGTTTTAGCAGGGAACAAAACAAATCAGTTTTAAAACCACAACATAACCAGTGCTAAGTCTTTTTTGCAGCCATTTTTCTTTGTATCGTTTTCTTAGTATGTTTGATTCGGTGATAAGTGGAGGCGTTGCAGAGACAAGGGTCGAACAAAACCGAGAAATACCGGCTGTTTCTCTGTAACTCGATTTTGACGATTTGTGTTTCGCGCTTCGCATGTGACTCCACTGCCTTAATTCCCATGGTTCCGAGCTTGAATCGCTTCTTGCACAAATACACTGTGCCTCATGTATGTTCCCTGGTACTGGTTTTAGCCATGGAGAAAACTCTTGGCTGGAGCCAATTTTTGTGACATTTACACTTGCTCATATTTTCCAGACAAAAAGTTAATGGCGCATCTCCCAAATGTCACGGCCGCAACATCGCTTTTATTGGTTCCGCTATCGGGACGGAAGCAATAATGGCAAGTCGTTATTTTTTTTAAATAAATAAAAAAAAATTCTCAATTTTAATGTTTTATTTAGATTACAAAAATTATTTATGATGTTTTAAAAATGAAGACCTATGAAAGACTGATTTAAGACATTTTAATACCAATTAAGGCCTTAGTTTTATTTTGAAGAATTCAATGCCTTTTAAGACTTTTTAAGGACCCGCGGGAGCCCTGCTTTAAACTCACACACCTCCGCTCAAAATCTGCCTTCCCTGCGCTCAACTCTGACAATGCGCGCTCGGTTTCTTCTCTACTCGCTCAGCTTCTTATCTGCGCTCGCTTGGCTTCACAGGATAAACAGATGTAATTTGATTTAGGGCTTCTTCAGTGGGCTCATCCGCCATTCTCTTTGTTTACACTACTGACTGGATGGGTGGAGTCACGTGATTACACACATGCTGCATTGTCGTAAAGGGGAATGGAAATACCGCCACCAACGCAGACAGGAAAAACAGCAAAATTAAGTTTATTTCTTAACAAACATAGGAAAATTGTCTCTCCGGTTGTCATAGTGAATGACGATAACAATATAATTCAGTTTATTGCCCAGGCCTTGTTTATTCTATCAAGCACAAGAAATTGCTTAAAACATCACTACAGCTGCAAGTACAGGTGCAGAAAAATGTTTTTATACCCTGGAAAATCCTTGTATTTAACCCAGAAGTTTGTTTCTGATAGAAACCTAAACATGATGAAAGAAGAAAGAATTAGTTTTCAGGTGATTTAGTGTTTATGCAGAAAATCCGAATCTGAGAGACTCTGAATCCAAAGATGTATTGACGGCTACAAAAAGGGAGTGAAAATCAAAGCTTGAAGTTTGATTCTCCACTCAGGGTCAGCCTCAGTGATCCATTGATCTTCCTTCAATGTACGTCCCATGGGTGAAGGTAGGTATGCATGAATAAGCCAGATATGCAGCCCCAGTGATTGCACTCAGAGATTAAAGGTTCTTGGTTGATATCATGGTGTGAGACACAACATCACAGATCTTTTAGTTAGACTCGTCAGCCGGAAGCTGGTTTGGGGTCAGAAAAAGGGGAGAGAGAGATGTCCATGAGTTGGCCTGTTAAAGAATCTCAAAATGAAAACAAATATTTGTTTCTCATAGTGTTTATAGTGTTGGGATAAAACATATTGTAGTTTTGAACATTATCTAAGCAAAGGCATACACATAATGGACATTTATAGATTGAAGGAATTCCATTTTTACTGTAAGCACTGAGTCCTTCTGATAGAAAACAAGCTTTATATCCTTCCTCCTCCGAGCAATGGCTGTTTTTAGCAGTCTGTGATGTTCCATGAATAATGTTTTGGCTGATTATAGCTGCATAAAAACCAAAAAGGCATTATATAAGAGCTTGTTAGT